GCTGCAGGATGGAGCTGGAAGATGCTCAGCATGGGACACGGCTGAGCTGCACAATGCCAGAGGTTTCCGGTGGCCTCGGTGTGCTGAGCTGTGCCGAGCTGCCCCGTGCTCATCCAGCCCTGGAAGACTGGCTCATTGTCATGACAACCTGAGAAACTGGTTAAAAATAGCGAGCAGCTGCTGGTTTGGGGGTTCCTCCTCCATGCCCACCTCCAGACAGCTCCTCACTCACCATCTGCCGCAGGTGCAGGGGCTTCCCGGGGATCCCCCAGCTGCGGTGCTGGGCCCGGAGCAGGATCCGGCCTTGGTGCATCCACTGGGGGTCCCAGGTGCTCTCCCCTGTCCCTCGTGCTCTTTCTCCCTCCAAAAAAAAAGTTTCGTTTGCCGCAAGTCGTTTTGTCAGCACCAGGATGGTGCCATGCCAGCACCCAAACCCCAGCACCAGGACCGCGTGTTTATTACTCAACATGGTCTGTTTAATCTGTGCCTCAGTTTCCCCTTGTGTGAAAAGGGTTGGCAGCTCCTCCCTATCTCCCTGTGATGAGACCAGGCTGCTCGGGGCTCGGTGCTGTTGGAGGACAGGAAGGACCAGGGTCACATTAGGACTTTCCTCCAACCGAGCCAGGCTGTGGGATACGGGAACCTTTCTCAGTTTCCACCTTGGTATATTTTCCACCAAGGGCTCTTTGCTCCCGTCTGCAAATCTGCAGAAGGTCTCTTCCAACCCAACCTGTTCTCTGATTCTAAATACACAATTTTAGGGCTTGGCTGTGGTTTTTATGAACTTTCTCTGCACAAAGGAGCACGATTGCCGTGGCAGGTATGACGGGAGTGGATGGCTCCAGAGGTGCTGAGAGCCGCTTGCCTTCAGCAGCACCCTCCCCCGGGGCTGCGCCTGGTCCCTGCCCACCTGCTGTCTTTTTCCAAAACATCTCTGCTGCAAGTTTTAATGAAGCCGAGTCAGCCCACAGGGACCATGAGCTCTCCTGGGGTGCTCAGGATGTGATCTGAGGCTGGACCTCTCCTGCAGAGCCACTGGGACACTCCCCCCGCAGTCCCCAGTGAGTCCCTCCAGCAGTTAACAGTGGCCGTGGCTCAGTGGTTTGTCCCCAGGGTGTATTTTATGTCCTCCTGCAACATTTGGGTATTTTTTTTCCTGCTCTGACCAATCAGACTCTGCAGTGACACCAGTGCCGTCCCCGTGGCACCCATAGGCTTCTCAGTGGCTCCGCTCACCCCTGTCTTCTTCTTTCTGTTCCCCAAAGATCCTGTCCAACGTTGCCATCTACCTTTGCGCCATCACGGTGGGCACCATGTCCTACTACATGGCCGACCGCAAGCACCGCAAAGCCTTCCTCGAAGCACGCCAGTCCCTCGAGGTCAAGCTCAACCTGGAGGAGCAGAGCCAGCAGCAGGTAGGAGCCACGTCTGGGCAAGGGAAGGCATGGGGACAGGGTGGAGGGCTGGAGAACCTCTGCGATGGAGATAGGCTGAGAGACTTGGGATTGTTTAGCCTGGAGAAGAGAAGGCTCTGGGGAGACCTTCGAGCAGCTTTCCAGTACCTAAAGGGGCTACAAGAAAGCTGGAGAGGGGCTTTGGACAAGGGTGTGCAGTGACAGGACACAGGGCAATGGCTTTAAACTGAAAGAGGGGAGATTTCGATGAGATCTAAGGAAGAAATTCTTCCCTCTGAGGGTGGTGAGGCACTGGACCAGGCTGCCCAGAGAAGATGTGGCTGCCCCATCCCTGGAAGTGTTCAAGGTCAGGTTGGATGAGGCTTTGAGCAACCTGGTGTAGTGGAAGGTGTCCCTGCCCATGGCAGGGGGGTTGGAACTGGATGATCTTTGAGGCCCCTTCCAACCCAAACCATTCTATGATTCTGTGATAATGGGACACCGATGTGGCTCTGGGACATGGATGAGGCACCCACTGCCTGTACCCTTCCTGGTGCAGAGGGACCGTGGTGGGTTGTGATGGGGACAGGAGGACCCAAGGTGGGAAACGCGTTTGCAGCTTTGCACTTGGTGCCCAATTTGGGGACTCTCTGTATGACCATCCTCTTCCAGGGCCTCCCAGCTCCTGCCATGGCCACCACCAAGCTGTCCCCATCCCTGTGCACAGCCACACAGCAAGTCCCCAGATGCAGCCACATGGCAGATTGCCATCCCTGGGCATGGCCACGTGGCAGGTCCCCATTCCCGCACACAGTCACGTTGCAGGTCCCCAGGCGCAGCCACACGTGGCTGATCCCGCGATCCCTTGCAGCATTTCGTGTCCCCATCCCCAGCCACAACCACATGGCAGGTCCCCATGCAGTAGGTCCCCATCCTCAGGCATGGCCACCCAGCTGTTCCCTGTTCCTGTGCACAGCTACGTGACTGGTGCCTGTCCCTGCACACAGCTGTGGCCATGCAGCATTTCCCTGTCCCCAAGCATGGCCACACAGCAGATCCTGGTCCCCAAGCATGGCCAAGCAACACGTTCCCCTCCCCATGCATGGCCACACAGCATGTCCCTGTCCCCATGTATGGCCATGCAGGAGGTCCTCCTCCCTGTGCACAGCCACACAGCACATCCCCATCCTCACACATGGCCATGCAGCATGTCCCTGCCGCTGGGCACAGACATGCAGCATGTCCCTGTCCCCAGGCACAGCCACGCAGCAGGTCCCCATCCAGCCCCCAGCCATCTCATGGTCCTGCAGCAGACCATGATGAGGACAGCAAAGCTGGCAGCAAGCACGCACAGTGGCTGCTCTCCGCTCATCTTGCCAGCGATGCCCACCACGGCGGAGCCCTACGCGCACAGCCATGCCGGCACCATGCCACAGGGGAGAGGAGCAGTGGGAGGGGAGTGGGTGTGGTGGGGCTAATTTTAGCCTCGTATCTGGGGCCTTTCTCCCTGGGCTCCAGACTCTTATCTGGTTGATCTGATGCCACCAATTTGCTCCCAATGGTGACAAGAGCCACGTGGCTGGGTCGGGCCAGTGCCAGCAGTGTCCTTTTTGCTGCAAAATGCAGGTGGATGCTCTGGTGTCTAATATGGGATTGAGTCCAGGCAGGGGTTTGGGTGATGGGGACAAATCCTGGGGCTGGGGATGCTCAGAGTGAAAGCGCCTTCTGGGCCCTCGAAGGGTTTGGAGGGAGATGGGAAGGGACAGGAGGTTTATTGTTTCACGAGCTCTGTTTCCATAGGGAATCGAGCTAAAACTCAGTTCATCAACCAAGTTACTCATGTTTAGTGTGAATCCCCATGAGCATCCTGGCAGGTCTATCCCTTCTCCAGCTCTGGGGCTGCAGGGCCAATGGGGACAGCAATGGGAACGATGTCCCCAAGTGGGCTTGATCCTCCTGCGGGACCTCGGTGCAGTCCTGTGCATGGATGTGGGACACCCAGCATGTATTTTCATTGATAAATCCTCCCCAGCATGATTTAACTCAGATCCATACATCCAGCCCCGACCCACTGCTGGGGCAGGACACCCTGGGCCAGCTCACAGGGACCTTGGGGGATATCGGTGCAGACCCTGAGGTCCCTCCCATCCCTGGATCTCTGATAAAACTTGGCCGACTCAGTGGATTTGAATTCTCAAGCCCCCAGTGAGGGGCTGGGCTCTGGGTCGTGCCTGCAGAAGGGATCTGGGGTCTGCAAGCAAATTTTGCAGCTCGTCAGCCAGTGTCCAAAGAAGGGTGCGAGACCATCTCTCCTGCCCACGGCTCCGGGAACAAGGAGGCTGCAGTGTCCCAAACCTGCCATATTCCCATCCTCCCTGGCTGGGATTTAGCCCCGCTTGTAAAAATCTTGATGAGAACTTGTGAAATAGGGAGGAAATGGGTAAAAGCCAGGGTTGATAACCTCAGCAGAGCATCACCAAGGGGGACCTGCCACCCATGGGTGCGTCCCCTCCACTTGTGGGTGTGGGTTTGGAGTTGGGGTGATGGCTCCCAGCACCCTGGGGTGCCCCGGGACACCCAGCTCCGAGGTTACTGTCCCTGCCAGGAGG